AATTATTACGTCATCAAATGAAAAATATGACGTAAACCTTTTGAGCTCAACACAAGTAGATAATATATTCATCATTATTTTTCTCTTTTACTTCAGTTAAAATTTCCTAAGAAATGTAGGCTGATTTTGCACCTTCGTGGCTTTACTTCAAATTTCTATTTCAAACTTGTATAACTGATTTATCAATATATTTTTGCCATTTTAAAATACATTTCCGCAGAAAGTCATGCCATTAACTACTGTTATACCGAGTTTACATAACCGCTTTATACAGCCATGCTTGGATTTGTGAAACACATTGTTGAATTTTTTTCAACTGATATATATCGTAATATTTTTCATTATATTTATCCGGATTTCAGTGTCTGTACGATTGAGTAATATACAAAATGGGAAAGAATCATGTAAAGGCTTCATTGATCGAACTTTCATTTAAAAGAGTCTATGTGATTTTGAATATCGCAGCACTGTTATGGCTTACTATAAGAAATCAACGGAAAATAAAAGTGCAAAAAACGGGAAATTTTTAAAATTGAATTTATTTTTATTCAGTAATTCTATTATCAAAGAACTTAAATACTTATGGAAATAGCATAGTATAACATACTCTGTAATGTGTAGAGTTTGGTCCCATCGATGGACAGTCACGTGATAAACGCATAGCAGGTACACGGAATGTAGGTCAATAACAAATTTCAATATCGCAAGGGCATACCCCAATTGAAATTAAAAATTCAAGCTATTAATTGTTTCTGTGTACTTTGTAGTTTTTGAAAAGTGCTGCTGCTTTGAATAGAATTCGCGTTTTAATACTCAAATGTTTAAGTAAATAGGCCAATGTCGAAATAAGTTAGAATTTTACCAAATATTTTGTGTACTTATAAAATCACGGCCTCGATTTAAAGAAAGCAGCAGCACTTTTCAAGTTAAGAAATATATCCTTTATCTATATTTAAAAAATGGTTCAGATCTATGCAGTATATGCCCTTGCGAAAGTACGATTTTATGGGGCACCTCGATGTAAAATATACGTAACCTGTACATAAAACACGACATAATTAATAAAATACATTCTCTTTGTAGTTAATTAACAATCGCACTAAATAAAGGCTATACCTTGGTATTAATCGACTATTTAAAATTTGTAAATAATATTTCGTTTAATAATAAAACACATTTTTCATTGATAAACAATTTCTCAATTTGCCTCTTACAGCACACGAAGTACGTCATTTTTACCAGTATGACGTCATGTTTACAAGTTCATCGCAATGAGTGCTTAGTTTTTAACCAGCTTCAAGGGATTTAACTAGCAACTTTTTTAAATGCATTGATAAGTTATAATGTTTTTTATTATGCTAATACTGTTCAGCGTTTCAAATTATTTCATTTACACGTTTTATGAGAACTAGTCTACATAAATGTCATATTTTTGTGTGACGTCATAGTATACTTTTCCCGTATAAATTAGGCCCCGCCCCCTTATTCAAGCCTTAACAATGATGCGATGTGTTTCACAAATCCAAGCATGGCTGTCAAAAGCGTTTCATTGAACCAGTCAAGATCTCAGTTGCTGCAATTCCAGAAGAAGAATGACCAGTTTTAATTCCATTCCCAAGTAACTGAACCAAAATTGCATAAATGTAACATCTAGTATTGACACTATTTGATTATTAGTAGGGACTTTGCCCTACTGGACTTTTACGAGAAGAACTGCCCTTTACAGTTGACTGTTACTTGGACATTTAAATTTTTATCATCCACGGATTTACAGAATTGATAATGGATAAGAAAACCTTTCTAGTGGTCATAATAAATATGTAAGGGGCACTTGTACGTGAAGGCTGGGGGCTGAGAGTATGGTTGTTGTCGTTTTCTTCATGGAAAACTTATATCTGCTTTGAAAAATCCCGTAATTTTCGTTAAATTAAATGATGAGCTAAATATTTATATCACAAAAGAGGCCCTACACTGTCCTAGTGTCAGTTTAATTTATCAATTGTAAAAGTCAACGATTCTCATAAAAGTCTATTGGAAGACATTATTTGTAGATGTAGCTCTGTAACCTCTGATTGCCTATGCTTGTCATAATGTATGTATAACATGCCATGCAAGCAGATTCATTCTTTTTTGCCAAGGATGAGTAGTCTGCAATTTATTCCCTATCTTGGGCACAATATTTTTAGCTCTAGTGGTCAAAGACCAGAAGAGCTTATGCGATACTAAGGTGTCCGTCATCCATCCATCTGTCTAGCTCTCTTTCTGTCCATTGTGCGTCTGTAAATACATCTGTTTAGCTGTCTGTTCATCAATCGTCTGTAAACTTTTCACATTTTCAGCTTCCATTTAAGAATCACTGAGCTAAATTTAACCAAACCTGGCACAAAATATCCTTGGGTGATGGGAAGTTTAAATTGTTAAAATGTCAGGTCTCTTTACAAGGGGAGGTAATCAATAAAATACAAAAATAGAGTGGGGTCATTAAGAAATCTTCTCAGGAACCATTTGGCCAGAAAAACTGAAACTTATATATGTGGAAGCATCCTGGGATATTGTAAAATCATAATTATCAAAATAATGACCTCCGGGGATAGGGCGGAGGCACAATTAGGAATAAAAAATTTAAGTGTATAAATTTAGCAGTTAAGGTAAGACACAATAGATATGCCATATTTTCCTCAAATTCAATTTTTCTGAAACTTTGACATTTTGTTCTAGGATACAAAATCTTTCTTAATATATAATATGAAAGAAATTCAACCGCACATATTTTGCCCACAATGTCTGAAATATGCCCAATCAGACCCCTGTAAGAAGATTGTGAAATCAGACACTCGACTTGAGAATGATCCTCATTTTAGAATTATAAATTGATCTATTGCATGTTTGTTTTATAATTTTGTTAAAGACAACGTTTTTGTTACTTTAACTTAGTAAATCATATTGATACTGGACCGTTTGAGAAATATATTAAGTAAAAATAAAGCATACACAGCGTCGGAATTGAAAATTCACATGTAAATATCCCACACTTCAAGTTTTCTTAAGAAAAAATGTATTATTCAATTTTTGCAAAAAATTAACAAAATGATTAAATGGGTACCAGAATAAAATGTGTAAAAATAAAGAAAATTGAACCGGTAGTTTCTCATATTTTGGCGATTAAAAAAAAATAAATGGCAAAAAAAGCATTAAGTAGATGACGTCAAATATTTGACCTTTGACCTCTTGATATGACCTTGACCTTTACAGTGCACAAAGAACGGAGACTTCTTATATGTTTGAACAAATATCAGCCCTCTACTATTTATTGAACAACAGTTACACTGCATTTTATATCAGACTGTTACATACTTGTTTATTGCACTTAGATAGCGTAAACACATTCCAAAAAAATGTAAATTCCCAAGTGACCAACATATAGAATTCTCTGATTTTTTCACAAAATATGACGTAATCATGCCAAAACTTGTTATTTTTCTTACGAGGTCATTCATTGTTGTCAATGTAGTAATCTTAATCTTTTTTTTCTCCAGTATTTTTTTTAAAAATTAGTAAAAATAAAATCCAGGGGTATTTTGTACTACCTTAAGAAATAAAAAATAGTCATAAAAGTATCTCTGAATCCAAAAAATAATGTTAATTTATCCACAGTATTTCTTTAAAGTTAAAGATAAAAGTTAATCATATCAATATATAGGGAAAATTGCTAAATCTCCAATATTGTTGCAGAAAAGGCGAATGTGAAAATCTGCAGTACAATTTCTAATTGCAAATTGACCAACAAATACATTTTAGGGTTAAAAACTATAGGTATCCAGGAATTCAGAGAAATTGTCATGATTTTTACACTTATTTGGTATTTTTTGTCTTCTATTTACTTCATATATTCTATAGAACATAGCGTAAAAGACTTCTGGTATCATTGCAAGACACTACAAATCACTTCGTATTTCATATCACGCTAATAAGCATTGGTATCTAAGCCTGGAGTCAAGAAAATCTGATTTCTTTAAAACTGTATTAATCTGTTTTCCTTTTATAGGGTACAAATGTCAACTTTTATAAGACCTTTTCTAAGACTTCCAAAAACCTTTAATATTATAAAGATGAATAAAAAATGAAAATTGTTGCATGAAAAAAGTCATTTTCAAGCTTCATGTTGATGTATTTCAAATTACATATTGATTTTTGGAGTTGTCCTCCATGGCTGAGGATTGGATATCCTTAATCAATATGATTTATGTATTGCTGTATTCTTACACCTCTAGTATTTGGCCCCTGATGTTGACCTAGGAGGTTCACTCACTTTTCTAAAATTTCCAAAAAAACATTTTTTTATCTATACACTGCACTCAAGGTACTTATTCCAACAGGGGACCTCGGTTTAAAATTATACAGTCTTATCATCAGGACTGGTATCCATATCCCGGCAGTGAAATTGGACGTGAGGATGAACTCATAAATCCAAGACTCTAGAGCAGACGATCTAACCACTATGCAATGTGGCTAATCATGATGTCATACGTTTTGAGAAAAAAACACTAGTGGATGAATTTAAAAAACGAAAACAAAGTGCTTTCAGTTTACACCTGTATAAAACCTTTTAGAAAACCTTTTTTGTATAGCACTATGATATTCCACCCACTGACCTTGATTTTAAAGTTTTACTTACTTTTCAAAAATGCTATCGTTCCTTATACTTTTGTTTGAGAAGAGATAGGTCTATTATATTTTGATTTGTGCATTACCTGTGACAAGAGCATGCTATGATTTTGGACCAATTGACCTTAATGTTTGACTTTATTTTTAGAAATGAAATTTCTTAAAAATTATAATTAAATGATGTTTATATTTGACACAATGCTATAAATGGTGGCATCCCACCAACTAAGACACCAAAAGTGGAGGACCACAATTCTTTGAACTAAGCTTTGATTTTTATTTTCAATAAGGGGTCAAATACAGTCATTATTATGTCCTGTTCTTTATTTTCTCAGAAGACGTTTCAAAGCTTAGGAAAGCCATCCCCCTCAAAGTGAAAGGTACGTATGTCATTTGCAAAAATCTGTTCAAGAACAGCAAGGCAAAGGTTTTGTTTAGAATCATAAAATTGAAACAAACCGCAGTTAAATACTTAAAAAACTTTGAAAGTGCATCTGAAAAATATCTGGAATTTACTCCTTAAACTTGTTATTTCAATAACTTCCGTATTTATGCTCTTTAATTTGAAATTTAAAAAAAAAAATTGCTATGACTGCACCTCTTCCAGCTGATTTGTTATGGAAGCACACAACTTTCGAATTACAATATCTTCTTTCTGCAGCTGTTCATGAAGGTAAAGTCATACTTTATATAGAAGTTATTAAATACCACGTCGTCTTTAAAAAAAGTTTGGTTGCCCACAACTGACCTACTGGCTTGAAATGGCCCAGTTCAATTTTTTTTAAACATCCAGGAATCAAGATATTTTTCTTTTCTTTAAAATTTCTAAAACTTCTCATTCGATCTACATATGTGTTGACATTTTTCCGAGAAAAAAAATATTTTCCCACCTTAATACAAATTGATTTTTTTTCCCTTAAAATGAGTTGGAGGGGAGCAAGGAAACATTATTTTAAATTTTATTATAGCACACAGTAAATTTAATTTTCTAATTGCAGAGATTCATGAGAAAGATATTTCACAATGGGAAAAAGATGACAGAGTTTTCTATGAATCTCACAACTTTCGGTCTATGCTGGAAAAAGTGAAGAATCAGACTCATGTGACATTTGTTGGTGTGCCAGGAGCTGGAAAAACAGTAACAGCTCGTCACTTCGCCCTCATGTTACAACAGGAAGGGTATGAGATTGTACCAATCAAAGACATCAGAAAGATAGAGGACTACTGTGATCCTAACAACCCACAGGTTTTTGTTATTGATGATGTGGTAGGTGTACTCGGACTTCAAAACACGAAACTAAATCTTTTGACGGATTATAAAGATAGAATTGTGAAGCCTGTAATGACAAAGTCAAAAACTCTCATGACGTGTAGAGAAGCAGTGTATAGAGAATCATTAGAGTCCAGTTTATTTTTTTCAGATGAAAATAATATTGTTTTGTTGCATAACGATGTTAATGCTTTAACGAATACTGACAAAAAATGTATAATGAAAATGTATAACATAGATGTAGATCTGTTGTCTCCTGCATGTTTGACATCAGCATCAAAAATGTTTCCATACCTTTGCAAACTGTTTTCATCAGAAAAGAAATTCCAATCAAATGGTCCTGCATTTTTTGAAAATCCAGTTCCATGCATATTGAAAGAACTCGAAGAAATGAAAAGACAAAACAAAATCCAGTATGTTTCTTTGGTTTTATGTATGATGAACAATAACAAATTATCGAAGGAAATCCTTGATGAAGCAGAGAAAGAATCGGCTATTCGAGACTTTAGTGAAATAAAACAAAGCGTTCTGAAGAAATGCAAGGTCAGCAGTCATACTGATAATTTCAACTTTGATGTTGCAATGTCTGAAATGGAGGGCACATACACAAAACTTAATGGTACTGAGTATAGTTTTGTTTATGATTCCATGTTCGAAAATGTTGCTCATCATTTTGGTTCCCAGTTTCCAGAACTCATCTTAAAATTTATGAGCAGCAATTATATTGCTAAAAATGTAAAGGTTAAAGAATCTCCAATACAGAAGATGGACGATAAAAAAATGATTGAAAATGCTACAATCAGTACATGTAGTGAAAATGTAGTCAGCAGTAGAGAAAGTGAACAAGGAGAAAATAATGCTGCAGTCAGTCAAGAAAAGAAATCTGGTGTAGAGTCATTAGATCTCTTTATCAGAGTAGGAGAGAAACATTATCCAATGCTGGCAGAGCGGTTGTACAGGGATATAGAAAATATGGATCTTGATTATGTATTTAAGAACAGTGTTTTAAAGGAACCTAAGGTGTATCAGGCTTTTGAGGATGTTTTAAAGACAAAGTCTGAGACAGAGTTGACGTCTTTATTTCTGTCAGAGCGTGAGGTTGTGAGTAAAATTAAACGGCGCTTGATACCACCGTTGGAAATTTTACCTAAACTTTTTATGAAGGACAGAGAGGAAACATTCGAGAATAAGAAAAGGGAAGTTAAATACGCTTTGAGAATTATCAGTTGGGTCATTTATTATGGACACAATAAGATTTTACAATATATTTTGAAACGAACTGAAAACAAACAAACAGAGCCTGTTTTATTTAGGAACATCACAGAGACTGAAATTCCCGAAAAATACCTTTTAATTGTACTGGGCTGCTCCAGTGGTGATTTAGGGACTGTTGAAATATTGCTGAGGTATATCAATAATGACACACTTAACATGGTTCACAGATTTTCGTTAAGAGAAGTGTGTCAGGGTGGACATGTAAGAATAGAGAAGGAGCTGTTAGTAACTGGAGCTGGTGGCACTTTTCTAGTTCAAAATAAAGGTACTACACCACTAATTACAGCATGTAGAGGTGGATATGAGAGTGTTGTGAAGGAACTAATAAAGGCAAAGGCAGATGTGAATCTACAAGCAGAATCACACACACCGCTCTCATTAGCATGTAGTGGGGGACATGCAGGTGTAGTACAGGATCTGATAAAGGCGGGGGCTAATGTCAATCATCCAGTTCCTTTAGGAATATATTATTCCAGAACACCACTTGAAGCCGCATATAAGAATGACCAATCGAGTATTAAGAAAGATTTGCTAGAGGCAGGGGTGGATGCCAATCTTGAAAGTGTTCAAACAACGCCCTTAATAATGGCATGCGAGCGTGGAGATATACGTGTAGTACAACAGCTGCTAGACGCAGGGGCTAATGTCAATCTAAAGTGTGAAAGTGGCGATTATACACCACTGACAATGGCTTGTAAGGGTGGACATATGAGTATAGTGGAGAAGCTGCTAGATGCAAGAGCAGATGTTAATCTAATAGATGAAAATGATACACCACTGACAGCGGCTTGTAAAGGTGGTAGCCTGAGTACAGTAGAGAAGCTGCTAGACGCAGGAGCTGGTGTTAATATACAGGACTCGGAAGGGAGAACACCCCTACATAATCTACTTTTATTTAGCACTGAAACTCAGATACCCGTTAAATTGATGGTCAATGGTTATGGTGCAGACCCAACTATCCTTGATAAAGAAGGGCTTTCACCAATTAGTATTGCATTAATCAAGAATGAATCTGAAGTTATAAAGCAATTATGTAACACTGAAAGTTCCGATGAGTCATATAGACGAAAGTTACATTTGTTTGACTGCTTACGAGTTATAATACAAAGAGAGGTAATGTTAGACAGCAAGGATGATGTGGTGGTTAAAAAAGGAGGAGTGCTGGATACAAATATGTTAGAATATAAGTTTAGAACTATCATTGAAAGTAAAAGTGACGCACTGAAACATCTGTTAAATCTGGGTCTGGATGCCAACCTGGGGATAAAGGAGTATCATTACGATTCTTATGAAATGAAACCTCTTCTGTTTACATTGATTGATGATGGATTTGGTCAGTTTCCAAAGCACAATCAAGAAGAGGAGCTGGGGATCCTTGATGAGAAGGTGAGGATACTTGTGGAGGCGGGGGCGGATGTCAATGTGAATTACACGATGTATCGAGAGCGTTTAAGAAGAAAAAACTCCATTTATAATGGCATGTATATCAGTAACCCTGACTTTGTTGGTATGAAGACTTTAGTAGACAAAAACGGCTTGTCTCTTCTAGAGAGGACACGGAGACTCCTAAAGCGCACATTAAGTCTATGCAGAGAAGAAGACGACACAAGTTTTGTACCTTGGACCGAACAGAGTTTCGGTGAAATGAAAAAGTATGTGCGACGCTATTCTGAGTAATTAAATATATTTCACATCATATACCGGGTATTTCAACAATATAGTGTACAATAAAATATACTACTAGAATGAGTATTTCTTATCTTCCTGGACGTGAATATGCAATATGTTGTTATATTACGGTACATGATTATCAGTGTTCATTCTTCATTGAATGATGTATTTGGTTAACCACATCATGTAATGTGTATGTTGCTCAATTTGCATGTTGTAATTTATTGATAACTTGACAAAAACGAGATTGTGAATATCAATGCACCAGGTACTTATTTTTAGTTAGTCGCTTGATTTTTAAACTGTACTTTGAACATGCTTATTCATTTTTTCTAATGATAAACGTTTTTGTTATTCATTGTAAATTGCATCGATGTATGACAGATTTTGCTATGATAATTTTATGCATAAATTTGTTCAATAATTCTTATATGTGAAGGTCGTACATTTCTTTCGTACTTTGGAGTTTGAAGTACAGCATTGAATTCTTGACCATGTAATTTGAATAAAAATTCTCCGACATATATTATCTCCACTATGTTTTTTTTTTTTTTTTTTTTTTTTTTAAATTTTATTTTAAACACTTTCACATGTACATATAAAATAATTTTCATCAATTGGTACACAGTAACATCGGGTCTACACACAATATATTGTAGAACATGTAGAATGTGAAAGGTGTTTTGAAAAAAAAAAAGACAAAGAAAAGGGGGGGAGGGGTCAGCAAGAAAAAAAACCTTTCTTCTGTTAGAGATAATACAAAAAAATAAAAAATCACTCAAATAAATTATAAGATGTAGATGTATATATTAGCTTGTATATGTAACTCTGTTTCTTACAATGTATCACAAATATTTTGCCAATGCCTTTCATATTCATCATATTTACAATTCTTCAGCAATAAAAATTTTTCAATCAAAATTCTATCTGTGATCCTCTTTAATACAACTTCATCATCTATTCTTGGAACATTCTTATATTTACTGGCAAAAATAAATTGTTTTACAATAAGTATTAAAAGGTTTTGAAATTTATAAACATTCATATTTTCATATTTACCAAATAGTATTGCTTGTTTATCAAAACAACAATGAATATTAAACTTATTTAAAATCCATTCTTCAATAGTACACCAGAGTTCTTTTACATGGAAACATTCAACAAATAAATGATCAATTGTTTCTATGTCACTTCTGCAGAAACTACATGCTGGAGAATCGATCAATTTTAGTCTAAAAAGATAATAATTAGTTGGGATAATTCTATGTAAGATTTGAAACTGTAGCCATTGAAGTTTAGATTCTTGAGTTATTTTAAAAGGAAGTTCAAATATTTTAGCCCAGTCTGCCTCATCGAAGATAAATCTGTTTTCTCTCCATTTTTTGATTGAGTTAGCTGGCTCTTTCTTTTTACTTATAAATATGTTATACATATCCTTACAACCTTTATCATGTTTATAAAATACAAAAATGGAATTTGGAAGATGTGGTCCAATCAACTTAGCATTTTTAATTTCATCACAGTTTATATTTTTCAGTCTATCTAACACTGCTATTCTAAGACCATTATAATCAACAAAATTTGTTTTCACTTTCAAGTTTATTAATGAGTCGAGACTTATGAAACTACCCTCATTGTTAAAGAGGTCAGTAAGAAAAACAATGCCTTCATTAAAATAGTTTTTCCAAAAAAAAGATTTATTATTAATTCTAATCCTTGGATTATTCCATATATGTTCAAAGAGCACATGCCTGTCCTTTTCTTGATTTATTTTAGTTAACCTTGCCCAGCTTGACAGAACTTCTTTCCAAAAAACATTATTTAATCTTGTTGAGAGATTCAGAATATAATCAGAACCCCTTATCCAAAGATTGTTTATATCTACTTTTAGTTCAGCTTCAAATAATTTTACCCAGTTTGCTTGTGAGTGGATAAGTCTTCTAATCCAACTTGATTTAAGGGCAGAAATGAATTCTGTATAATCAATCATTTTTAGACCTCCATATTTATAGTCCTGGATTATAACATTTTTCTTTACCTTGTGAGTTTTGCTACCCCAAAGAAAATTATACATTTCAGTCTCAAACATCTTCAAAAAGTCTGACTTAGGGTTTGGTAAAGTAAGAATTAAATGGTTTAATTTGGGTAATATTAAAGTTTTAATTACTGTTAACCTTCCAATTGGGGTAAGTTTCCTAAAACTCCACTTACGTAACAAAGTTTTGATTTCATTTAGCTTTATGGAATAATTAAGATCAAGCATTTCATCCAAGTTTACTGAAAATTTTATTCCAAGAAGATCAAATATTGAATTTTCCCAGTCAAGCTTCCACCTTGAGTGATGAAATACATTCCTTGAAAATTTTTTACTTCCAATCCATATCATTTTAGTTTTTAAGAAATTTATCTTTAAGCCTGATATATTAGCAAAATAATCTAATTCTCGGAGAATACCATCCATAGATCTTGGTGAACCATCCGAGATAAGAGAAGTATCATCAGCATATTGAGAGAGTTTGTACTCTTCACCCTCAATTGTTATACCTTTTATATCTTGATTATTACGAATTAAGATTCCAAGAATTTCAGCACATAACAAAAAGAGATAAGGTGAAATCGGATCACCTTGTCTGCATCCTCTTTGGGGGAAAAGATAATCTGAAGTGAATCCATTTTGTATAACACATGATTTAATACCATTATAGAAGGTTCTAATCCAATTTTTAAAAGAGGGTCCAAAATTAAAAAAGTCAAGGGTTTGATATATAAAGTTCCATGAAATTGTATCAAAAGCCTTTTCGAAGTCAATTAACATCAAAAGACCAGGTATTTGATTATATTCTGTATAATGCATTATATCATATATCAGTCTAATATTCTCTCCAATAAATCTACCTTTTATAAATCCAGTTTGGTCTCTATTTATCAATTTGCCCAATTTAGTTTTCATTCGTTCCGCGATGCATCCTGATGCTATTTTATAAACAACATTTAAAAGACTAATGGGTCGCCAGTTTTTTAGAAATTGTTTTGGCTTTCCTGTTTTTGGGATACAAGTAATGATTCCTAATTTATTTGAGTCTGAGAATTGAAGTTTTTCATTTGAATTATTTATTGCTCTTGTAATAAAGGAGCCAATATCTTTCCAGAAAAATTTGAAAAATTCACACGTAAATCCATCCGGTCCTGGACTTTTGTCATTTTTCATTTGTTTTAAGAAGTTTAAAACTTCAAAGTTTGTTATAGGACCTTCCAGACTGTTTGATTCTTCTCTACTTAATTTGGGAATATCATAATCTTTAAGTCTATCATGAATATTTTCAGAATCTACATTTTCCCTTTTCTTATATAAGTTATCGTAGAAAGCTTTCGTTTCATTTAATATCTCGCTTTGGGAAGAAACAATTGATCCATTGTCCTTTTCTATTTTAGGTATTTGCTTACTTACATAGTTTCTTGATTCTAAACTTACAAAATATTTTGAGGGTTTTTCTCCCTCCTCAATCCATTTGACCTTTGACCTTATACATTGACCTTTAAATTTTATGTTCTTTATTTCTTCTACTTCTCTTTTCTTTTCTTCAAGTTCATTAATTAACTGATCTGTTAAATTCTGCTCTAATTCTAATATTTCTCTCTCTAACTGTTGTTCTCTTTCGAAAGTTTTCTTTTTTTTATATGTTGAAAATGAAATTGATTTACCTCTTATTTCCATTAACAATATATCAAGAAAGAGTTCTCCACTATGTAGCCCAGCTTGTATTAATGATGAGGTGTTTGAAAATATCATGTTTATTGTATGTGTGATAATGTTGTGTCTGACTGTTGTTTTGACAAGTTGTATTGTTGTTACATGTTGAATGTGTGATAGCATTGTATTGTTCTTATATGTTGTATGTGTGATAGTGTTGTATTGTTGTTATATGTTGTATGTGTGATAGTGTTGTGTCTGACTGTATTGACAAGTTGTATTGTTGTTATATGTTGTATGTGTGATAGTGTTGTGTCTGACTTTTGTATTGACAAGTTGTATTGTTGTTATATGTTGTATGCGATAGTGTTGTGGTTGAATTCTGTAATGACAAGTTGTATTGTTGTTGTATGTTGTATGTGTGATAGTGTTGTGTCTTACTTTTATATTGACAAGTTGTATTATTGTTGTTACATGTTGTATGTGTGATAGCGTTGTATTGTTGTTATATGTTGTATGTGTGATAGCGCTGTATTGTTGTTATATGTTGTGTGTGTGATAGTGTTGTATTGTTGTTATATGTTGTATTTGTGATAGTGTTGTGTCTTACTTTTATATTGACAAGTTGTATTGTTGTTTTATGTTGTATGTGTGATAGTGTTATGTCTGACCTTTGCATTGACAAGTTGTATTGTTGTTATATGTTGTATGCGATAGTGTTGTGGTTGAATTCTGTAATGACAAGTTGTATTGTTGTTGTATGTTGTATGTGTGATAGTGTTGTGTCTAATTTTTGTAATGACAAGTTGTATTTTTATTATATGTTTTATGTGTGATAATGTTGTGGTTGACTGCTGTAATGACAAGTTGTATTGTTGTTATATGTTTTATGTGTGATAGTGTTGTGTCTGACTTTTGTATTGACAAGTCAATAAATTGTTTAGTTCTCTTTGTCTTTTACTAATCTCAGTTATAATGAGCTTTCGGCTCACCTGAGCTAAGAACTCAAATGAGCTTTTCTGATCACTTTTTGTCCAACGTCTGTAAAAGTTTCACATTTTCAAGTTCTCAAGAGCCATTCCTCCAATTTTAACTAAACTTGGTACAAAGTGTCTTTGGGTCAAATGGAGTAAAGTTGTTGAAATAAAGGGCCAAATCCCCTTAGAGGGGAAAAAGCAAGAATTTTCAAGACAAAAATGGGGTGGGGTTATTTCAAATCTTCCCAAGACCCAAGCCGCCAAAAAAATTAAGATTAGGTGGATGTATCGTTGGATAGTGTTTATTTTAAAATGTTCAAATTATTACTTCAGGCGTAGGGCGATACACAAAAGTAAATCAAAGTTTTGCATTGAAATATATAGGGCCATCCTTAAAAATATCTTTGTTTCCTGTAATCCGACACTCAATTCTCAAGTTGAGGAAGTAGGTAGGTAAATGATTTTTTTCTGACAGCAACTTTGAAAATACATAATGAAATTTATAGAATAATACCTTCATTATTTAGAAAAGTACATAAAAAACATTTGATAAGGACAGATGATACAAGCAAACTTTTGTCAGAAATTTTGAACATAACAACTTGGGTCATTTTTTTATGAAAATTACTCTGTGGTCGCATGTTGTAGGCGACGTTT